TTCTGACTCTTATCAAGAAAAATTTTCCCATGACAATAAATTAGATAATAAAAAAATGAAAAGGTTTGTGTAAATTAGCAACATTCATGTCCCTTTAAGAAGCTGTACCACCTTCAGTCACGCAAAAATGTGACTGAACATAATACACTTGACATCCCCATCTAGTGGACTACTTTTGTTTCTGTACATACCTGTAGTTATCGTCCATTTATTGTTATTGAAGTGAAGTCCTCAATAAATCGTCATAATTATTTTATGCCATATCGCCCAGCCCTAGGTTGGAGACATCTTTACGGTGGGTTAACCGCAGCATTTCACACCGTGGTTAATAGTCAAACCGGTTAATTTTTGAAACCCTAGATGAGACTTGTGTTCAAAATTGAGCTTGATCGTTATTTTTCGTATGTGCAATCTGAAAATTTAAGTGGATCTATACCATGACCGGTGTTAGCACGTAGATAAAAATAACATTTGTTGTGTAAAAGCAACAACACCGTTTGTTGAGTTGGTGGGATTTTGTGGCTGATATGAGACTACCCCAAGCCCGCAACCCTTCAGTGGTGCACAACAAAATCCCTGTTGATGATCAGATAAAATATTTTATCGTTCTCCCTCAAGTCCCTGATATTGTCCTCGTTGCTGCTTATGTATCAGCTCTTGAAACACGCGGTGACGTCTGAATAAATTGGCCCCAGCTGGTTGCAGTAGCTGATCCCACCAACTTCAAAGCGTTTTCATAAACTGTTGAGTTTAAAGCAACCTCGCTTTAGCTCTGGTTCTACTTTAGTAAAACAAATAATACAGAAAGCCGAAGTCACGCCCATCTACTTCCGGACCATGGGTCCCCGGAAGAACGAAAAAATAAATGCAAGTCAATGGGGCTAAAAACGTAGTTTTCTCATTACGCTTGTGTCATGCCATGGATTTCACATATGATGTCCGTGAATTTTAAAGGCACATTTTGATACCAAGAACGTGCTTATTTTCAAACAGTGGGGAACGATATTTTAGGTTTTGTGTGAAGTGTAATCAATGTGTAATCAATTTCCCTCTGGGATTAATAAAGTAGTTTTGCATTGAATTTGAAGTCCAAGACTACAAATGCGCGAAAGTGACGTCATCGAACCAGACACGGAGAAAACTGACGGGAAAATGGCTGTAAGTTCAGCAAACTTCCCACAGGAGGAAAGAACCACCATAAATCTAGCCATGTGGTAAGTAGCTTCTACTTTAGGGGGAGGAGATTATGTGGTGATGTCACACATGCGACATGCAATTTCTGGTGTGTAGTCATGCTAATTACAAACTTTTACAAGCTGATAAATCTCAAAGTACGTGACAGGCGTGGTCAAAACACCCATCATTACTTTTCATTTAAATTGCAGTACAACATATGTGCGATCCAGGGCGTAAAGCAAAGCGGATTAGAAAATAGCGTTTTTAGCCCCGTTGACTTGCATTCTTTTTTCGTTCTTCCGGGGACCCGTGGTGTGGAAGTGACTTAGGCTCCCTATTATTAATGTCAGTTCTGAATTCTTGGTCTTGTTTCTGTGAACAACAAATTGCCAAAGATGCAAAAGATCTGATTGCTGTAAGAGTTTGAGATTAGAGCATTCTTTAATTGTGAAACTCTCTAGAGGTAGGATGTGACCAAAAAAAAAAAAAAAAAAAACAGGTGGTAACGTGTAAGGTTGTAGGTTGAAGAAAGGAAATGGGGACCAGTTCCTGAGGTTATCATTTTAAATGAATGTACTTGGGCAGCAGTATTTCAGGAGGTAGAGCGGGTTGTCCAGTAATCGGGGTTTGTAGGCAGACTCTGACTATGTTTACATGCAGCCAATATCCGGGTTATGATCGGGTTAAGGTCGGTATTCGGGTTTCTGAGTTGATCAGAATAACCCGTTTACAAGCATAAATAGCAAGAGTTACCCCTAACTTGCATAACCCGATTTAAATGCAGACGTTGGGGTAGCGTCAGGACGTATGGACTACGTCCATATGCCTCATTTCCGGTTCTTCTTGTTCCGGTATCCGTGAAAACAACAACATGTTTCCCAGTTCGGAAGAGATAGCGACCGCGTTTGTTTGGGCTTTATTTTCTTCGTCACTCCAAAAGTGTGGTGCTGTGCCGCGACTCGCCATGTTGCTCCCAACTTGTTTACTTCCGGTGTTCTGGCGCATACAAGACGTCTCTCTACTCAAAAGACCAAGATTCCTTGCGAACAGAGCATTCGCAGAACACACGCTTTGATGGGGATATCCCGATATGTGTTTACACGACCAAACATTCAGGTTAGAAAAGGGTTACCCCAGGTGTAGTAACCGGGTTTTTAAAAACCCGGTTATGAGCATATCCGGGTTTTTGGCGGTGTTTACAAGGACCTGCGGAACCGGGTTATTGTGAATATTCGGGTTTTAAAAGGGTTACCGGCTGCATGTAAACTAGGGCTGCTCAATTAATCGAATTTTAATCACGATTACGATCTGAGTTTTGAACGATTATAAAAAACAAAACAAGCCGATTATTTGCTCCTCCCGCTTGCGCTGCCCTGAGTTACAAATGAAGCGCTCCTCACAGTGTTGCCAACTTAGCGACTTTGACGCTATTTCTAGCAGCTTTTCAGACCCCCTCCTTGACTTTTTAATCCTAAAAGTACCTAGCGAACACCTCAGAAACATCTCTGCTAACCCTTAGCTACTTTCTGGATAACTGTCGTCGACATTTCCTGCAGGTTAGCTAAACACTCCGCCTGTGCTCCGGACCGTTCTTCACAACATTAGGAAAGGGAATGATGCAGTGATGCGTCGGTCGCTAAAGACAGCTCTCGGAGCCGGCTCCTTGTTGGATTAACCAGAGTGAGTGACACACACACCGCACCTGCGGTCTCCTGAGCAGCTAAAAACAGCTAAATGTGCGTGTGCAGCGTGCTAAACACACGTGCAGCTTGCCCGATTGCTGAGACCGGGGTGGGGGGGTGGGGGGGGGGGGGGGGCAGCTGTGGTTGGGACAATTATTACATTAACTGATGGGCCTGTAAATAAATAGTTTATAAATAAGGTAGAAATAAGTTCCTCACGCTGATAACTAATCTCTCTGAGGACACGGTGCTAGTGCACTCTCCTACAGCACCTTGACACGACTCAATAAATGTTATGCAACATTTTGTGAACATGAATTTATTTGCATTTATTTGTTATAAATGCCTCTGTATAATTCTTGCTGTCAGTATTTGCAAGATATTGGTATTTGGTTCTGTACTGGTTAGACTCAAGGTCTATAGCCCTTGGGTCATAGACTATGAGCTATAAGTATATTGGTCTTTTTATCCTGGGAATCAGGAGTTCTTTTAGTGATCATCTTGTTTCTTATTTTTGTCCTGATTGTGCCCTGAGCAGTTTTATGACTGAATAAAAACAAATAAAATCAACATAAATTGAAAAATCGTTCTAAATAATCGTGATCTCAATTTCAGTCACCATAATCGTGATTATTATTTTTGCCATAATCGAGCAGCCCTAATGTAAACGCACTGATTCACTCCACCCAACTTGCCTGCTGGTGGTAGTCAGAAAGACCGGTGGTGTCAGTGTTTGGCAGCCTTGCTTCCATCAGTGTGACCCAGGACAGCTGCGGCTACATTGTAGCTCATCACCAACAGTGTGTAAATGTGTGTGTTGATAGGGTTGAAGGGAATGCTTCAAAATGAGCCAAACGGGGGAAAAGTCACAAGAGCTGCTTTTCTTGAGTTGAAATAACATTTTGTGTTTTGACACCATTTGTCCTTTCTAAATACAATTATTTAATTGTAAGCTCGTCCTTTGCTTAATTTTCATATTTCCCATTTTTTCTGATGCAAGAAAAAATAAAATAAACACAGTGAGAATTTAAACATGCCACTGACCAGCTAAATGCTACACTTGCTAGAAAGCAAATTTTTCCACCAGAAATGACGTTCCTTTTATTTCTGTCTTTGCCAAGCATAGAGCTGTTTGAAATCACATTTTAATGATGCAGCGGTTTGGGTGTTTGGATACCACAGATCTCTCCCGAGATGAAGATTTTACTGCTGCTGCTGTCTCCTAAAAAACAGCTTATATTCAACTGCTGCCTTGTTTTTATTGAGCCTCTCTGTTTGGTGGAAATGTCGCTGGGTTTGGTTTCAGCAGCTCACAGGCCAGTTATGAGTCAGCAGCACCAGAGGCTGAGACGAGGCTCCGCATTAAGCTTTGTCACTTAAGGGACTGAATTCAGCCCCACTGACGAGCTGGGATGAGCACGTATTTGTGTATAAACTCTGCGCTCCTAAAAGGATGAGAAACTAAAGATATTTCTATGACACAGACAACAGAAAAGGCAGTAAACATTTTGGATGTGTTTACTTCCTTTCCTGGGATCGTGCTCATCATTTCAATGCAATCAACCAATAAAAAATGTATATGTTTTGGTTTTATTCCTTTAAATGACTGTTTCAGCCATTTTCTGGTGTCCTTTTGTGTAAAGTGTGTAAATAATTCCTGTCTTATCTGTTGAAAGCCTGATGTGACTCCGTTCAGAGAAATTAATTACTTCCAACAGGACTGATTAGCTAATGGCTAGCCTGAGCAGTTTGTTTATGCACTTTTGCAGTTGTTTTCTTGCATTGATCTCTCTTTATTTGTGTTGTCTCTTTCTTCCTCTCAGGAACATGGGAGCTCCACTACCCAATGCTGTTTGGGAACCGATATGTTGAACAAGATTCACGTTTCCGACTGACGGACTGTTGTCTGACCTGTGAAAAATTAATGTTGAAACATTAATAAGAACGATTCTCTAAACAAAACCATGCAGTGATGGAAGTTCACTTGCAGTTCTGTACGGTAGCCATGGACCAGCTGAAAGGGTAGGGTCCGCTGTGAGCCTGCCTCACCCCACCCCACCCCCTCCCTCCCCTCCACCCTGTTAGCTCCACCAGAAAGCAGAACCCCACGTTGAAGCTTAAAGCGTGAAGCCCTGCCCTTCCCCACCCCCCAAACACCTCCACCACTGCTTCAGAAGACGAAACATGATGCTCATCGCAAAGACTCTGGTTCATGTCTGATACATATACCTCTGAGGCGTCGAGCGTAAAACCAGTGGAGAAATGAATGGAGGAAAGGACTGCGAGGCGGGAGATGAGAGGCAGGCCACCCCTGTCCAGGTCCCCATTGGCTGGCAACGCAGGGCGGAGCACGGTGGAGGCGTTGTGTATGTAAGGTAAGGAGAGTCATTCCATAGATTACTCACATAATGATTGTGTTGAGCACTGGTTCTCTTGACATTATCCGTCCGAGATTAAAAAAACAACAAACCTTATAGATGTCCCGACATTTCCCTACATGGGCTCAGGCATATAACTATTAAAAACCTGACTCTCTCTCTTTCCTCTTGAGTTAATGCGAAGTGTCACTTAATCCCTGCAATAAAAAGTTCTGATCTTCTGGTTAAAATATTCAAAGATCAATCAGATTGATATTTCTCATTTCTATGGAATCTCACATTTTATGGTTCATAAGTAAGATGTAAACTACCCATCCTTTACAACGCCTTCCTTAATACCGGATGCTCTGATCTGGGGTAAAGGACTATCTATAGCCCCCTTCAGACAGGCCATGAAAAACGGAAATGTTTCGGAATCTGTCCGTAAGACCTTTCTGTCTGAATACAAACATCCAGATAACGTGTTCCGGAATTTATGCGGACGAAGCCCCTAGTAACAGGTCCGGACTTGTTACGGACAGGGTGGCTGCTTCAGACTGGTGAGGTAAAGTTCCGGACAAGAGGGAGGGGTAGGAGGAGGGGACCGGGGGACGCTGTGCGCACCTAGATAGCCCGCTGCTGTAGCATGCGGCGAACCACGGCAGCTCGCCTCCTACGGTACCGCCTAGACGCGCAACGGAGCGCTTCACACCGCTTCAGTGATTCCTTTAACCATTGAGCTTCATCATCCAGGTCTCTTATGCGTCTTCGTGTGCGCAGAATTATGCTTAAGCGCCTCGTGATTTTTATCTTGAGAGGCGCTATAGAAATGATTTCTTCTTCTTCTTCTTAACATAAGTCCGATTCCCCCCCGCCGCCGTCAGATATCTGGAACTTTTCCCTGCTGTGTGAACGCAGCCGAAAGGACAAGTTCCGGTACAAAAGTGGTGTGTCTGAAAACACAGTTCCGGTTAAAAACCGGATTGAATTGTCCGCAAATGTTCCAGAATGTCTGTCTGAAAAGGGCTTATGTGTCACGCGTTTGACTTAACTTTACTTTGTTCTTGTGTGAGTGCAAATGGTGATGACCTTGTCATGTCAACATGCTGAAACATATATCAATCAATGTAATCATAACATAACATTCATTTCAAACTTCAATCACTCAAGCACAGATTAATGAAATCATTTCATTATATTATAAATATTATAAGTAGCAATAAACAAACATTTATTCAATGATTATTCAGCTTATAAGTTTTAAAAGTTCATATTTAATTTAAGAAATCATTCTTTGATTTAGCAACTAATCCGAGCTGCAAATGTTCCTTGTTCAGAGGCATGAAGAATTCCATAGGGCGATAAGGGAAGCTTGGACCTTGAGGAGAGAACATCATTGTTGACAATACATTATCATGTGTTCAGAGCTGCAGAGAAGCTCTGAGCTCCAGCTGATGGGATGAAGGCAGGCCGATTTAAAGGGAACACGTATCTCCATTTTGACCAGATGTTGAATGGTCGAACTGTACCTAAAAACTGACCATTGCTGGACATTACATGTGTGAGGGAAAGGAAGGGAGGGGGTGACGTAATGCGGCATTCGGGGTATTTCTAGGCTCCACAGTAGCAGCAACGCACATCTGGTTTGAGAATTTGCAGATCACTTTTTTTTTACGGATATCGGCTGCGGATTCTTCCTCCTGTTGGCAGAATCGAAACTTAAAACTTTGAACGATTCCGGGAAAAACTGACAGTCAGTGCTAAACTAATTAGCATCTGAAGTCAACATGTTTCAAGCTTAAAGTTACATTGTATATTAGTGCTGGGCAATAAATCGAAAATTTATCATTATCGAAATTTCTGACTCTTATCGAGATAATTTTTCCCATGTCAATAAATTTGATGATAAAAAATGAAAAGATGTGTGTAGGTTGGCAACTTTTATGTCCCTTTAAGAAGCTGTACCACCTTGAGTCACATTTTAAAAATGTGACTCAATGTGGTACATGTGACAGCCCCATCTAGTGCACAGCTTGTGTTTCTGCGAAGACCTGTAGTTATAATCCATTTATGGTTATTGAGGTGAAATCTTCAATATATTGGGATATTGATTGTAGGCCATATCACCCAGCCCTAGTGTGTATTTTTCCTGGTGATAGGCAGCAGTGGATGCCTAAATCGTTGCAAGCAAGCAGTATTTTTGTGTTGGAGTGAGACATTACCAACGGAAGCCCATTAGGGTCAAAAAGCCCTGGGGAGTGCTAACTTAAGCAAAATAACAAGCACATCAGACTCCCTTTCATCACGTCACGTGTGCTAAAAACATTTAAGAATGATGAAAGGTTTGTAACTGTTTGTTACAAATCACTAAATGCATTTTGTCCTCATGGGCTCCCGTAGAAGGAAACATGGCATCTAATATGGCACCGGCCAGAGACTTGGACCCGCTCCCATGTATTTTAGACATGATTTTTATGGTTATATGTTATGAAGCCGCCAATACTTTTCAACAACTGGGCATAATTTCATTCATTTTCAACAGCATCTTGATGGATGTTTCCAGAAATTAATATTAAAAACTGCACGTTGTTTCTTTAATACTATAATGCTAAACAGGTTGCGTGACGAGTTTGAGGACTACTCGATAAATACATTTTAAGGGCTATATCAGAATTCTTTCTTTAAAAGATGATTAAAGAAATCTTACCATTCATTTCAACATAAGGTTACCAGGAGCACAGTGCTCTTGAGTGGGCTGGATCATGGTTTGTTGGTGTCCTTCAGGTCCTTTCTTCAGTCTAGTAGTGGCAGCAGTTGGCCACACAGGTGCCTGGTTTTTACATATTTGTTATCGGCTTCTTAAAATAATTTTGGCCGTTTGTAGAAAAAATGTAATATATTGGCCGGCCTTTAGTTCACAGGCTGATGGATCCGCACTGCTGCGGTTGGCTACAGGTGTTATGCACAGAAAAGTAAGCCTGTTGGCCATGATGCAGCATGCCCGCTCCGTTGCAGGAATGCTCATCAGTCAATAGAGCTGAATAATGAGGATGTAAACAATGAAAAATATAAGCGGTGAGGCTACTTTTATTATATTCATAATACTAAAACGTTTCTTATCAATGTATCTCCTAAACGAGTAATGTTTTTGGCAGATTAACTAAGGAAATTACATAAATACTGAAAGAAAGAAACACATAAATAATAAAAACACATAAATAATAATAATAATAAAATGTGGATTTACTCTCCTGTCTTGTTCTTATTCTAATTCATTGCTGAAGTATCGAATCTGGACTCTGTGTCGGCAGTGGCGTTTCGTCGGAGTTTTCAAATTAAATTCTCTTTTCAAAATTGCACTTCTAGCATGTGTGTTTTCTGACTTTTGGTGTTGCGATATTAAATCATATTTTCCCTCTGTATCGTGATACATACCACCAGATTTTTGTCATTACACATCCCTACATGGCGTAATTACAAATTGCAACAATTGTTTGCTTTTCTTGCATCAATTTTTGATGAGGTGTCTTATTTGTGTCCAAATTTGGTCCCTAACCTGTCCCAAAACAGCTCACGTGTCTCTGTCTAATGGTTTTAACTTGTCCTGTTGATGCTGGTTAAACTCCTCATGTCCTCTCAGATCGTAGCCATCAAAGTAGAAAAAAAATGTTTTGTGTTGCTGGGACTAGAATTATTTTATATTTTTGTCCTATTCATACCAGCAACATACACGGTAGATGATTAAGACAAATGTAACCATCAGGCTTTAGTGTTAGCTGTTTGAACCAAAGTGCGTCCCACAGGTTTGTTTACATCCACACAAGGTCTCTAGCTCCTCTAATTGATCGGCTCTGCAGGCAATCAACAGAAACATGGAGAGGTTTGATGCTGCTGCTCCCTGTGTTGAGTCACGCCTGTTCCCTCTCCACTGCTGTGTGTTTGACATCTACTGGATGCTTTAGAAAGCTGCTGCTAACAGAACTGAGCAGCCCATCGACACTTGATAAAGGCAGCCCACTTGTTGGATTAAACTGTAAATACAAGCTGACTGATATCAGAAACAAGTACACCAGCTGCTGGCTGGTGTTTGGTCTATTTTGGGTATTGGGAGGAATCTTGTCTCTTTCTGCAACTGTGGCCTTCACATTTAAAGGGACATTATGGAAGTTTGACAGCCAAAACATGTATAGAAATAATACATTTCTTCTTCATACATTCTCCTGCAATGCCCTGGTCCTGTAGAATGAGCCCTGGCATTTTTACTGTGATTGCCTGTTTTTCTGTAAAATCACAGAAAAAGAGAGATGCTCGGGTCGAGCAGGCTGCTTCATGCGCGTTCACGCTCAGGCATCGCCCGTAGCATTTGCTATCCGTAGCTTTAGCAGCAGAGAGAGAGAGGCAGTGCCACTTTGTCGCTGTTCCTAACGCCTAGTGACAAAGCTAGCTACATTTCTGAGGACCCTTAGCTACTTTCTGTAGAACTGTCTTCTAGATATTTCCTGCAAATTAGCAACTAAATAGCCATTTTCGCTCAGAACCGTTATTTGGTTTGACATTTTTTCAGGTGTCATCAAGGATATAAATGTTACAGATACAAAGGACGTAATGGTGCTTTAGCTCACCTAGTAAGACTTTGGACTCTCGTGCAGAAGACTCGGGTTCGATTCTGGATGTGAACATAGTTTATTTAGAGTTTCTTTTTTACATTAATGGTATATATTTTTTTTACAGTAAGATGCCCAAATTTTTATTTGAGACTCGCTGAACGGCATTGAATTCACAGATAAAAAGATGTGGGTTCAACTTTCATTTTGGAACAATTTTTCAAGCAAGGGAAGGGAATGATCTGAGCATGCAGGAGGACTGACCCATCATAAACCTTTGTCGGCTGTGCTGAAGAGAAAGGTACAGAACCAAATTATTTAATTAATTAGCTGCGCGTTCTCCTGTCCTCTGTCCTCCGGGCCACACACACACACACAAGGGACTGTCTCAGCTGTTATTTTCGTTAAGCAGTGTGCATGTACAGCATGCGCGCCTCGTGCACAAGCCTACTATTGAAGCTGCCGTTACGCTTTTGGCCTGAGGGGGCAATCACGAGCATAAAAATTCAAAACTCCGTAAAGTCCCTTTAAGGAGTCCATTTGGTTTAGCAGTGAGCCGCTGTGGATCCTCACTGATTCGTTCTTTTTCAGTCATGGTGTGACGATTCTGACTCTCCGTTGGTCAGAACGCCAGCACATGTGCCTGATGGGACCTAGTAAATGTACGTAATGTTCTACAGGATTTTGCAGACCCACTTGAACGGACAGCTCATTGTTGATTTTCCACACTTGTATGGTGTTCTTTTTTTTGTATTTTCTTCAATGATTTCTTGAGTTATCTTTGAACACTTCTTTGGTATGAAAAGTTGGATCAGTTAGTTGGACCTCTTCACAGCAAACTCAAGTTATGCAGCTCTTTACTAAAGATGCATTCTCTTTTCAGAGACATAAAAAACTGCTGATTTCTCTTATCTGTTGGTTTTGTGGAGCAAATCCCTTAAAGAAGTTCTTCATAGAGAAACCATTTTTTATTTATTATTTTCGAAAGTGATCGATCACTCAGTTTTTCATGCAGGTCTCCTACACCAATCTCCTGCATTAGCTTCTGATAGAAAATAAACGTTGAAACTCTAGGATTAGAAAAGCCTGACAGATCTACGACACTCTGTCACTAACATTCATACACTCAACCCGGGACCAACAGTTAATTTTTCCCGGAATTGTTCAAAGTTTTTTATTTCGATTCCTAGAATGCTGATCGGAAGAGGAATCCGCGGCCGATCTCCATGAAAAATAAACGTGATCTGCACATTGTGATCAACGCTTTTCAGAGCTGATCACACCAGCTGTCTGTGTGCAGCACCGAGTTTTTGTTTTTGTGAAGCGCCTCGTGATTTTTATTTCGAGAGGCGCTATAGAAATGATACTTTCTTCTACTTTTACTTCTTCTACTTCTTCTACTTCTACTACTAGACTTTGGTTGTGGTCAGAAACAAACACACTGGTTGTGCTGCAAGTCTTTTTCTTTTTTCTCTCCAAAACATGTTTTTGTCCAAATGAAGGTGATGTTATTGTTAATAGGATTAAAATTCATGTTGAAGTGAAGATTATTTCATCAAGTAGGACCTGTGGTTAGCTGGCTCATTTAAAACATGGAATTTCTTGAAGGAATCGGGAATCGATAGGAACCGGAATCGAAACGAGGAATTGGAATCGGAGTCGTTCAAAATCAAAGTATGGCCAACCCTAATCTTGATCACGACGGGGAAGGCTGTTGTTGGTTTAGCGTCCAAAAAGCAGCAGAGAATGTCTCAGCTAGCAGAAGCTAACCGTTATTATTAGCAACTTGGCAGAACTCCTCCAAGCTTGTGTTCTTTGTGGAGCTAAAAATTAAACATTGCAAGAGGAAGATGAGTCAGCAGTAGAGTCGCATTGCAGTTATCCAATCAGAGGAGAAATGTCCAAATATCAGGAGATATGGCTCCAAATCCTGAAGCTACTTTCTCATCCAGCTGGATTCTCCATGCTGAAATGGGTGCACCAGTGCTTTTTCCCCCCAGAGTACGACTTGCATAGCATTCATTCCTATGACCACTGCAAATGTATTAAAAGTATGCGTGAAGGACCTCTTTAAGATAAGCCGAAGCTTGATGAGTCAGCCCATAACTGGTGTTGTGTGAAACATCGTCACCCCCTGCTCACTCTGTTGTTTTCTGTGTACAGTCCCAGTGGCTCGGTGCTGTCCAACCTGGAGCAGGTGAAGGCCTACCTTCTGACGGATGGAACCTGTAAATGTGGCCTGGAGTGCCCACTCATCCTCCACAAGGTAACGTTCCTGTTCGAATGTGAGGTTTCAGCGCAGAAAAACCTAACATCTCGTTCTAAGAGGAAAATGTAGATGTGGAGAAGATGAGCGCTAAACAAGGAAGAACAGTCCATTCTGAGCATGCAGTGGGTGAGGTGGAGGAAGAATGGTGTCTGGAAAACTATTATAAAGTTCTTTTAGGCTAAAAAGTCACTTTTTGTCATCTTGTTTGTGGAAAATATAGAAGAGAAGAAAGGGTTGTTTTTTTGTATAAAGCGCCTTTGAAGAGCAAAGCACAAGGCACTTAACATGTGGAAATGTAATAATAAATAAAATAATGTGGAAAGTAAAATGAAGGTTACAAAATATAATTTAGAGGGTAAAAAGAAAAATTTCATGGGTAGAACACACCTTTTAATTTATTTTTTAAATGCCTTCAAATTGATGCACTTCCACCATTTTTAACGGCTAACCTCACTTGTTTACAATGTGGCTTTGGGAATAATTACTGGTCTAAAAATACTTGGTCAGTTTTTATCTTATAAAAGTACAAGAAACCTTCTTACATGAAAAAAATCCAGTGACTTCTGAGAAAAACAATTGCATTCGTTGGACATTTACTTGTGTTTTCTTTAGTGATAAATTGTCCTCAGTATGCTGTCTTAGCAGGCACAACTCATTTTCACGTAGATTGTAGCGTTTTACGTTTTAATGATCAGATGCAGATGAATACGCCCCCTTATTGATCTTCAGATCACAGGTTGGAGGATATCGCTCTGAGGTGGTTTTGCGCCCACCTGACTTCTTAATCTGTGACTTGGTGCGTGCACCTTGCACCTCCCAATCTGCACCGTTTAGACGGCCCCAGGAGACCAGCGTTAGAAAGCTCTGTGTGCTGGTGGACTTGGCTGTAAATTACTTCCTGAAGCATGGTCACATGGCGACATCAAACTGCCACACCATCATTATACTCGGCCTACAGCATCCTTGAGAAGTCCTCTACATGCCATGTAATAGTTATTTTTATGTTTCAAATTTATCGTCGTATTCCTGGTTTCTACTTGGTTAATGTGCTTTTCTCCCCTGCATGTCTTATTTACAGCTGGGACGGCAGTTTTGTTAAATCTGCATCACTTTTATTATTAACTGAAAAATTAGTTATTAGAAATGCAAAAATTGACCACAGTTTAAACCATATGACTGTTTTATTTATTTATTTATTTGTGTATTTACATTAAAGTATAAATCAGTAAGAGACTGAGTTATGAAGTCATGTATTTTACACCTTTGTCATCAGGTGTTCAACTTTGACCCCGGGGTGGCTGTTAAACAGAGGACGGCGGATGATGTGAAAGCAGATGAAGATGTGACCAAACTCTGTATTCACAAGAGGAAGCTCCTGGCTGTGGCCACGTTGCACAAGAGCATGGAGACGCACCCACCTCTGTCGCTGACCAGTCCAGGAGGAGGTACGTCAGGACAAAAATGTGGCTGGGATGGACTAGATTTAATTTTCGATTGCCCTTCCATGGTGCTGCCTTAAAGGGTTATTATGGAAGTTTGACAGCCAAACATGTATAGAAATAATAAATGTCTTCTTCATACATTCTCCTGCAATGCCCTGGTCCTGTAGAATGAGCCCTGGCATTTTTACTGTGATTGCCTGTTTTTCTGTAAAATCACAGAAAAAGAGAGATGCTCGGGTCGAGCAGGCTGCTTCATGCGCGTTCACGCTCAGGCATCGCCCGTAGCATTTGCTATCCATAGCTTTAGCAGCAGAGAGAGAGGCAGTGCCACTTTGTCGCTGTTCCTAACGCCTAGTGACAAAGCTAGCTACATTTCTGAGGACCCTTAGCTACTTTCTGTAGAACTTTCTTCTAGATATTTCCTGCAAATTAGCAACAAAATAGCCATTTTCACTCCGAACCGTTCTTTGAACGTTGTTTCAGCTGTCATCAAGGATATAAATGTTACAGATACAAAGTATGTCACTGGTGCTTTAGCTCACCTAGTAAGATGTCTGACTCTCACGCAGTAGACCTGGGTTTATTTGAGACTCGCCGAACGGCATTGAATTCACAGATAAAAAAGATGTGGGTTCAACTTTCATTTTGGAACAATTTTTCAAGCAAGGGAAGGGAATGATCTGAGCATGCAGGAGGACTGTCCCATGTTAAACCTTTGTCGGCTGTGCTGAAGAGAAAGGTACAGAACCAAATTATTTAATTAATTAGCTGCGTGTTCTCCTGTCCTCTGTCCTCCGGCCCCCCCCCCCCCACACACACACACACACACACACACACACGGGACTGTCTCAGCTGTTATTTTCGTTAAGGAGTGTGCACGTACAGCATGCGCGCCTCGTGCACGAGCCTACTATTGAAGCTGCCGTTACGCTTTTTGCCTGAGGGGGCAGTCGCGAGCATAAAAATTCAAAACTCCGTAAAGTCCCTTTAAATAATTAGTTCTTTGTTCTTTTTCCAGGTACATCCTCTGTGGCTTCTGTGCATTCCATAACTCAGAGAGTAATAAGGACTAAAGCCCACGATGGTCTGCCCAATGCTGTTGGCCCTGACTGCAAGAATCAGTTCAAAATGATGATGCCGTCTGGACAGCAGCAGAGGTTGTACTCGTCACCAGAAGTGGGAGGAGCCCACCAGCCGGAGCTGTACTCTGGATACCCAAGGACGCAGCGGTTAGGCAGTGGGGAGCCTGGTACAAAATCCCCGTACCGGGTCGGGTATGGAGGCATGTTGAGCCCACCTCCTTCTGGTGCTAAACTATATGGAGATGGCTCTCAGTCTCCCAGTGCGGACACTCTGGGCAGCCCTGAAGGCTTTCAAAGGACCCATCCTTGTGGTTTTCCAGGAGCTGGTAGTCCCGGACCTGTCTCCATGCACGGGAACACCAGGACACCACTTTCTCCACCCAGTGTATTGCTCCATGGTTCTCCAGCAGGCCAAACATCCTGCGCCATGACAGGAAGGACTAGCACGCCTCTCTCTCCCACGGCCACTGCCAAAAGCCCTGTCATGAACATGAACATGCCTCGGGGGAACTTCCCTCCTGGTATGGAGATGCCCCGAGCAGCATTTCACCATAAATCCCAGCCTCCTGTGCATCCTGTTCCACCCCCTCCTTCTATACCTCCACCCTGTGCTCTTCAGAAAAGGCAGTTGACATCTGAAAAGGACCCCCTAGGTATCCTAGACCCCATCCCCAGCAAGCCAGTCAACCAGCCCCCCACCAATGCCCCAAACCCTTCCAACTTCCAGCCCAACATCCACTCTCAGGTACCAATGATGAATGTAAACATCCCCCCTCCTGCCATTGTCCCCTTGCCAAGCAACTTACCTTTACCTACAGTAAAGCCTGGACCGGTTGGACATGGTGGCAATGTGCAAAGGACTCAACAGGGTGGTCCTGCTTCCTCCATGTCCCCCTCCCCCGTCACATCCCCTGTCCACATGACCGGCCCTGTGCTTGGGAGGATGGAGGCTTCACCTCATCGCTCACGTTCCTCCTCCACCTCCTCTGACCATGGAAACTTTGCTGCACCCGCTGGGCACCAGGCCCCATGTGGCACCATGAAGGTCCCTCCTCGTTCTCCCAGGTCAGCTATGGGGTCTCCCAGGCCAGCCATGCCCTCAAGCCCCTCCACCAACAAAACAGATTCACTCCACCAGTACAAAGACTCCCAGCTGCTGCCCGGGATGGCAAATTCAGTCCCCTCCCATCAGCACAACAACTCCATGTATTCACCCACCTCTTCCTCCTCTTCTCTGCCAACTTCTAGCGCTTCCCAGAAAGGTCATCCTGGACTCCTTGGGATGCCCCTTAACCAGATCCTTAACCAACAGAATGCCGCTTCCTTCCCCGCCAGCAGTCTCCTCTCAGCTGCAGCCAAAGCACAGCTAGCAAATCAAAACAAACTCAGCCCTGCTGGCAGCAGCCCTGCTGGCATGGCTGCTGGTGGTGTAGGAATGTCAGGCATGGGGGCAGGTGGTGGAGGTAATGGTGGGGGCGTTGGGCACCCGGGTTCCATGAGCGGCCCTCGAAGTATGGAGGGACACAGCACTTTAAACCCCATGCTCCCGCCAAACTCCACCATGCTGCTCAACACTCCAGAGGGTCAGAGCGGTCGGGCAGCACTTAGAGACAAGCTCATGGCCCAGCAGAGAGACCCAACCCGCAAACGGAAGCAGCTGTCTGGTGGCGCCGTCAGTCACGAGAACAGTAACAACATGGTCTTCAACATGCTCAACAAACCAGGCATGGGGGGCCCTCACATGTCGGGGCCCAGTGCCACCGAGCAGCTGAGAAAAGTAGGTCGAATTGGAAACCTCCACCCAAACACCTCCATGGCTCAGCTCCTCCAGTCCATGAGTTGTCAGAGTTCCCATAACCTTACTGGGTCTGGCCATCGCTCTGGTCTGAACCCTGGCCCTGGTGCTCAAGTGCCGCCACAGCTTCACTACAACGAGAGCACAGGCATAGTCCCTGGTGGCCCTCCACAGAACCTCCTGGTCCAACAGAGGCTAAGAGCTCCAGGGGAGACCATGCAGCGCTGCCAGAACATGGACACTTCTGGGGGGCACATGGTCCCCCGTCCAGGCCAATTTCCTGATATGATGGCGCAGATGCAGGTCCCCTCCTTAAGCAACTGTGGGCCTATGGTCCCTGGTGGGGGATCCATAGGACCAGAGGACATGTCGATGGTTCGCCCCAACACTAACCCCCCACCACTGTCCCATCCTGGTCCTCACCAATCGCAGATCCACGGTCTTGGCCGAGCTAACATGGTGATGTCTCATTCAGGCGGCGATGGAGGCTGTAACCAGACGATCTCTGATCCAGGTGAGACTACAGCTCATTTTGTTTAAGAAACCGTTTCTTCAAAATTATAAAGATTCTACCAACTGAGTGGATGTTGACTTGTTGACTTATATGTTACAGCTGTTGTTTTATGAGGGATTTAGGGATTTCCAGTTGTTAATTTGGTCACCAACAACACTCAGTGAGGTACAAATCAGGCTCAGGTGGTGCAAATGGGTACAAAGTAGGACAGGAACAGCTCCCCCTCACCATGACATCAGCTGCAGCAGCCTGAAGCTGTGATACAAGGCAGGGTGGACTCATATTTTCAAGTTGGTGAAACCAAATTCTGACCCAACCATCTGAATGTTGCAGCTGAAATCCAGACTCGTCAGACCAGGAAAGGTGTTTCCAGTCTCTTCTGGATCTTGTCTTACACAAAACTGCTGCTTTTTAAACCCTAGATTGGTATTTGGTTCAATCAATTTCCCTCTGGGATTAATAAAGTATTTTTGAATTGAATTGAATTGAAATTCCAGGTCGTCTTCAAATCGTCAAGATGAAGAGTTAACAAGCCGCTGAACAGTTGTACATAATAAAGTGGCCGCCTGATGATCATGTGGGAAATGAAGTTCCAACTCTCAGGTTTTATTTGAAACAAATGTCCGGTCTGGTCCCTTCTTGTTTGTGTATTTGCCTCCCTGTGGATTGATAGGCAGCTGCCATAATGAAGACATGTTCCTGTGCTTCTGAGTGAAGTAAAACCAGAGGATTTGGGTGATCGGCCCCGAGCCCGGACCGACTCTGAGCTAATGAGCCGGCCCCTCATCTTTGAAAGCTGGGCTAATTGTCAGTCAGCCAGTGTTTCTCTTTGTTTTATTTGTGTTCTGCCATCAGTCACTGGCGTAAGAAGATGGAAATGGGATCAGCATCGTGCTTTAAGGGAAACAGCCCAGATAGAGAGCTCTAAAGAGCTTCTCCCAGCAAGCTGGTCGCTATAGTAACGATAAACCCAGAATGGAGACCAGAGTGAAGCCTTTGATGAGGCTTTAGGCCTGTGTATGTTACCACTTGTGCTAAATTGTGTGTGTGTGTGTGTGTGTGTGTGTGTGTGTGTGTGTGTGTGTGTGTGTGTGTGTGTGTGTGTGTGTGTGTGTGTGTGTGTGTGTGTGTGTGTGTGTGTGTGTGTGTGTGTGTGTGTGTGTGTGTGTGTGTGCGCGCGTGTGTGTGTGCGCGCGTGTGTGTGTGCGCGTGCGCGCCCGTGATTCTTCAGCCTCTTTATTTTCCTGTTCCCTGCCCATCATTGGACTGGACTGGGTTTATTTCTAATAGGTATGTGAACAAGGAGGTGCTCCAGGCCACCTGTTCTTATCTCAGTCCCTCCTCATCCTCGATCTTGTAGCTTCAGGGGAAGAGCGTGATGTTTAGCGTCATTAAGAAGGAACTCCTTTTATAAAAATATGGCTTATTAGAACAACATGCAGATAGTAGCTCTGGAATCAGCTGATTTAGTCTATTTACTAAATCATAGAGGTTTTTAAATCAAGAGATTATAAATGAAACTGGTAAAAACAGCTCCCAGATTAAGTTTTTCTAGAATTTTTTAAAGCTAAAAATGTAAATATTAAGATTATAATTCCTTAATGTTTCAGGTTAAGTCGTTTTTCACCTATAACCAGCAATCTGCTGCCTCCTCCTGTTCTCATGTCTGTTACTTTTCAACCTGGATTGTGTTTCCATCTTTTACCGTCATATGCTAGGTAACTTTTGGAATTGGTTCAATTCAAGATGGCCATAAGAGATAACCAATATTAGCAACAACTAAACCAGCTCCAACTCATTCAGTTTTCCATGTGTTGAGCCAAAGTGTGATTATCAGCCATCATTTCTCACTTTCACACATTTTAAATCTCTAGCATGAATGGTAGGACCTGATAACTCATAAGTTAAATTAATTTTTATAATTTTGTCTTCAGTGGTTGATAAAACATGTTCAGGATAAGTTTTTACCTTTTTAACTAAACCTTAAAGGAACAGTATTGTGCTATTTTAAACCTTTCACAGGAATGATCAGCCCATATATGATTAAATATTACTGTGCGCTATGGAGACACCATTAGTTTTGAAATATAAGATATTTTTGAGACATTTTATCATCCCGCAAATAGTTTCTATGAAATCCTGCCTCCACTCACGTGAATTCTACTCATTTCATGACGTAACCCTAGATCCCCAGCAAAGCATCATGTCCAATAAGAAGAAGAAGCAGCTTTAGCATGTCATATAGATCCATGTGCAAACAAAACATCCCACTTTTAAACAAAAATGTTTTTACCACATTGAGCCTCCTGGAAGTAAGGCACGTTGGCGAGCACCAGGTGGCCGGGCTTTAACCCGGTCAGGCCCAGCCCGAAGAGAAAACATGAGTCCCCCTTCCCATGGGCTCACCACTTGTGGGAGGGGCCAAAGGGGTTGGGTGCAATGTGTGATGGGTGGTAGTCGAGGCCGGGGACCTTGGCGGTCTGATCCTCGGCTACAGAAGCTGGCTCTGGGCACGTGGAAGGTTACCTCTCTGGTGGGGAAAGAGCCTGAGTTGCTGTGTGAGGTTGAGAGGTTCCGACTAGATATAGTCTGACTCGCCTCGACGCATGGCTCTGGCTCCAGAACCAGTTTCCTTGAGAGGGTTGGGCACTCCAACACTCTAGAGTTGCTCCCACTGAGAGGCGCCAAGCAGGGGTGGGCATAATAGTTGCCCCCCATCTTGGTGCCTGTACGTTGGGGTTTACCCCAGTGAACTAGAGGGTAGCTTCCCTCCGCCATGTGGGGGGACAGGTCCTGACTGTTGTTTGTGCTTATGCACCAAACTACAGTTCAGATTACCCACCCTTTTTGGAGACCTTGGAGGGGGTGCTGGAGAGCGCTCCTTCCAGTGACTCCCTCGTTCTGCTGGGGAAATTTAATGCTCACGTGGGCAGCTACAGTGAGGCCTGGTGAGGTGTGGTTGGGAGGAACGGCCCTTCTGATCGGAATTCAAGCTGTGTTCTTTGTTACTGGACTTCAGTGCTAGTTATGAATTGTCCATTATGAACAACATGTTCAGACATAAAAGTGTCTATGTGCTCTTGGCACCAGGATCGACTTTGTTGTCGTTTCTTCTGACCTGTGGCTGCATGTCATGGACACTCAGGTGAAGAGAGGAGTGGAACTGTCAACTGACCACTACCTGGTGGTTGGCTCAGATGGTGGGGGAGGATGCTGGTCAGACCTGGCAGGCTCAAACATATTGTGAGGGTCTGCTGGGAATGTCTGGCAGAGTCTGTCAGAAGGAGCTTCAATTCCCACCTCCGACAGAACTTCCAAAACAGATCGTGGGAGGTGTGGGACATTAAGTCCAAATGGGCCCTGTTCCATGTCTCCATTGTTGAGGTGGCCGACCAGATCTTTGGCCGCAGGGTCGTCAGTGCCTGTCATGGCTGCAACCCCCGAACCCGCTGGTGGACACCGGCGGTTAGGGATGCTGTCAAGCTGAAGAAAGAGTCCTGTCAGGTCTTTTTGGCCTGTGGTACTCCAGAGGCAGCTGATAGGTACCGGCAGTCCAAGCGGAATGCATCTTGGGTGGTCGCGAAGGCAAAAAGCCGGACGTGGAAGGAGTTCAGTGAGACCATGGAGCAAGACTTCCGTACAGCTTAGGTGAGATTCTGGTCCACCATCCGGCGCTTTGGATGGGCGTGCTGCTGACTTCTACTCGGGATGTTGTGGATCAGTGGGCAGAATACTTCGAAGACCTCCTCAGTCCCACCAGTACGTCTTCCAGTGAGGAAGCAGAATCCGGGAACTTTGAGTTGTGCTCTCCAATCTCTGGTGCTGAGGTCAAAAAGCTCCTCTTTGGCAAGGCTCCAGGGGGAGATGAGATCCGCCTGGAGTTCCTTAAGTCTCTGAATGCTGTAGGGCTGTGTTGGCTGATGCAGCTCTGCAATATCACGTGGACATCAGGGACAGTAACACTGGACTGGTAGACCAGGGTGTTGGTCCCTCTATTTTAAAAGGGGGACCACAGGGTGTGTGCCAACTACAGGGGGATCACACTCCTGAGCCTCCCCGGTAAGGTCTATTCAGGGTTTTGGAGAGGATGGTCCGTCGTATTGTAGAAACTTGGATTCAGGAAGAGCAATGTGGTTTTTGTCCTGGCAGTGGAATACTGAACCAGCTCTATATCCTTAAAGGGGGTCTTGGGAGGGTGCGTAGTAGTTATCCCAACCAATCTACATGTGTTTAGTGGATTTGGAGAAGGCGTTCAACCGCATTTGTCGGTGGGCCCTGTGGGGGGTACTCCCGAAGTATGGGGTATCAGGCCCATTGATACGGGCTGTTAGGTCCTTGTATGACAGGTGTCAGAGCTTGGTCCGCATTACCGGCAGTAAGTCGAGCTTGTTTCCGGTGAGAGTTGGGCTCCGCCAAGGCTGAACTTTGTCACAGATTCTGCTCATAACTTTTATGGAAAGGATTTCTAGGCACAGCCAAGGTGTTGAGATGATTCATTTTGGTGGCCTGAAGATTGGGTCTCTGTGTTTTGCAGATGACATGGTCCTGTTGGCTTCATTAGAATGTGATCTTTGGCTTTCTCTGGAGCGGTTCGCAACAGAGTGTTAAGCAGCTGGGACAAGAATCAGTTCCTCTAAATCTGAGGCCTTGATCTCATTTCGGAAAAGGGTAGAATGCCTTCTCCGGGTCAGGGATGATGTCCTGCCCCAAGTGGAGGAGTTTTAAGTTTTTCGGGGTCTTGTTCATGAGTGAGGGAATGCTGGAGCACGAGATCGATAGGCGGATTGGTGCTGCCTCTGCAGTGATGCGGGCATTGTACCGGTCTGTTGTGGTAAAAAGAGAGCTGAGCCTCAAGGCGAAGCTCATGATTTACCGTTGATCTACGTTCCTACTCTCACCTTTGGTCACGAGCCTTGGGTAGTGACCAAAAGAACGAGATTGCGGATACAAGCGGCCGAAATGAGTTTTCTCCGCAGGGTGGCTGAGCTCTCCTTTAAAGA